ATATATATATATATATATATATATATATATATATATATATATATATATATATTATTTCATATAAATATGTATGTTACTTAAACCGGTTTAGAATATATTGGTCTGATTTTGTCTGTCTTTGGTCCGAATTGATTTGATTTGGGTCGAACTAAATTGCGGTTTTATCGAAAAAAGTTAACAAAATTAATGTAACCGGGTTACCCGCTCCCGGAACCGGAACCGCTGGTTCCGGGACTGGTTCCAAACATTTAAGAACTACCTAAAACGGTTCCGGTTCCGGTTCTAACTTTCTAGGAACCGCCGGTTCCGGTTCCGGTTCCGGTTCTCGACAAATGAGGCAGGTACCCGCCTATGCTCATCCCTATTTATATTGCAATTTTATAAAACTTCAATGGAGGAGAAAAATGTTAGGCTAAATTTAATAGGAGTTTAATGACCAATATTGTTGGGTCACTTTTTGTTTAAATAATCTATAAATTCAATTAACCAAAAAACAAAGAGTTATTTGGTGGGTGGGATGACTTGTGTTTTAAGATAGCCATTTTTTTAGGGTAGAAATGTCATTTTACATTACTTAACATGGTGTTATTCAAAAATGTCCGAGCATGTAACAAATTGAAACCACAAGTACCATCAGCCAACAAAAATTTATCAAGCACAAACACCAATGAAAAACAAAGACTATGAAAATAACATATTCTTCCAAAGGAAATAAGAAAAGTACAAACCAACAGCTCTCCTCCTAAATGATATGAAGAAAACTGACAAATTCTTCACCCTAAACTCTCTCCTCAAATAGGCCAATTGCAATATTCGTGACAACAGTCATACCATTAAACTAACTCTAAAAATAGGCATCAAATGCCATAATTTTAAAACATACTGCTACAAAAGTGGTCAACCTCCATTCATTCATACTTAAAACAGCTTAAAAAGCAAACCGCCATGAGCCGCAAAGAAGGGTGCAAACACAAGTGATTCAACAGCCATTAGCTTGATCAAAATGTTTAGAGATGGACCCGAGGTGTCCTTTAGTGGGTCCCCAATCGTGTCCCCTATCACAGCCGCCTTATGTGCATCCGACCCCTTCGGTCCAAGTGTCCTCGCATGTTCCGATGCACCCGCCTGATCATACATAAATCACACACCAAAAAAACAAAAGTTATACAACTTCTGAAAATTTACATTTTTAGTCCCCGAAATACTTGTTTTTTTTTCAATTTTGGTTCTAAAAAACTCTCTTCCACTTTTGGTCCTTCTTAGAATATGGACCAAAAATGTTAATTCACTCTAAAAAAATAATCACCTCAATATACTTCTTAGCATTGTCCCACGCGCCACCAGTATTGGATGCAGAAATCGCCACCTGGACACCAGAAACCAAAGAGCCCGCAAGAACACCAGAAAGAGTCTCAACTCCAAAAAACGTCCCGACAATAAGAGGAGTCAACATCACAAGTGCGCCAGGTGGAATCATCTCCTTAATAGACGCATCCGTCGATATCTTAACACAAGTAGCATAATCCGGCTTCGCAAGCCCCTCCATGATCCCTGGAATCGTATTAAACTGCCGCCTGACCTCCTCCACCATCTTCAAGGCGGCACTGCCCACACTCTTCATGGTCATGGCGGAAAACCAGTACGGAAGCATAGCCCCCACAATCAACCCGATAAAAACCTTCGGAGTCAAAACATCAACAACTTCAATTCCAGCGCGGCTCACGAACGCGCCAAACAGCGCTAACGAAACGAGCGCGGCGGAACCAATCGCGAACCCCTTTCCGATGGCGGCGGTGGTGTTTCCGGCGGCGTCGAGGGCGTCGGTGCGTTCGCGGATTCTGTGGCTCATTCCGGCCATCTCGGCGATTCCGCCGGCATTGTCGGAGATGGGACCGTAGGCGTCGATGGCGAGGCCGGTGGCGATGGTGCTGAGCATTCCGAGGGCGGCAACGGCGATTCCGTACATGGCGGCGAAGGAAAAGGAAACGAAGATTCCGATTGCGATGGCGAAGATCGGAATGATGACGGATTTGTAGCCTAATGCGAGGCCGAAGATGACGTTTGTGGCGGCTCCGGTTCTGCAGGAGTCGGCGACGTCTTGTACGGGGCTGTAGGCGTTGCTGGTGTAGTATTCGGTTACGAAACCGATTATGAGGCCCGCCCATAGACCCACACAGACGCATAAGAAAAGTTGCCTGGGTAAAAGGGTAATTTTGCTTTTGGTTATATGTAACTCTTTGAAGAATTTTGTATGGTGCTAAGAAGAAAAATAACAAAAAAAATGAGTAGATGATGTCATAAAATGATCATTTTTCAACTTTTATCATTTGTTTCGCGGAATGGCGAAATGTATTTTACTTTGCAAAATTGATGGCAATACACGAAAATTGATGTTTTGGGGAATTATAAAAATTCAAGATTCTTTTTTTTTTTAAATTGCTTCGCGAAAATTCTTTTTCTCTATTTTTTTAAATGATGTTGTTTCGTGAAACACGTTATGTCATTTTCACGAAATTAAAAAAAAAAATTGGCAAAATCTGTTGAGATGTTTCAAATGGAGACCA